TTGGAAGTGGAGCACCCAGGACACAAACTGGCACTATGCCATATACACTGGCACTTCTCTTTTTTCCTATGTAGTAGCAACCATTATATTTCAGGAAAAATATTTCTGTAATATTATCTTAATTATACCAATTGAATTGTACAATTTGTATTTATTAAAATTGCTATTTATTATACCCATCTCCTATTTTTCCTGCTTAATCACTTTTTAAAATAAAAATCGGATTATCTTTTTTTTTAAAGATTGATTTATTTTACTTGAAAGTCAGAGTTACACAGAGAGAGAAGGAGAGGCAGGGAGAGAGAGAGAGGTTGTCCATCCGCTGATTCACTCCCCAGTTGGCTGCAACGGCCGCAGCTGCACCTATCCAAAGCCAGGAGCCAGGAGCTTCCTCCAGGTCTTCCACACAGGTTCAGGGGCCCAAGGACTTTGGCCATTTTCTACTGCTTTCCCAGGCCATAGCAGAGAGCAGGATCGAAAGTGGAGCAGCCGGGACTCGAACCAGCACGCATATGGGATGCCGGCACTGGAGGTGGTGGCTTTACCCACTATGCCACAGCGCTGGCCCCCAAGTTGGGTTATCTTAACCAAAGATTAAAGCAAAGAAAAAATCCTAGAATTTTGTCAAAAGGTGGAACATTTCAGTTTTTCATAGTCCAGAGATTTTTATTGTATCAAAGGAGTACAGAAGGCATTTCTAGATACACTATCTTTACATTCTGGAGTCTGTGCCTTGAGGGAAATTTGGAGAACTTCATATTTAAATGACAATAAACCACAACTTTTTAACATGTAAGGCAAAGGGGCAGTTTGGCCTAGTGGTTAAGATCTTCCCCTGGAAGCCCACATCCCATAATGAGTACCTGGGTTTGAGTCTCATCTCTGCTTGCAACTCCAACTTGCTATCGATACATACCTTGAAAGCAGCAAGTGATGGCTCAGGTGGGTGGGTCCTTGACACTCTCACAAGACAACCAGAGTGAGTACTAGTCTCCTGTCTCTGGCCTGATCGTGGCAATTGCAAGCATTTGGGCAAATGCTCTTTCAAATAAATACAAATAAAATAAATAAAACATTGAAAATAAGACAAACTATTGTTTCACTAATGAATTTCAATCATTTCTTAAAATGTCATTAGTGTACTATTTTATAATCTTAAAAATGAATTTTTACTCATAATGTCATTGTTAGTTATTACTTTAATATCAGATGATTATCAGTTTGTGACTTCACAGTGTTGGATTTAAAACACATACCCCAAAGATTGTTGGTGATAAACAATATTCAGTTTATGAAAGAATAGATTTTTTTCAGTAGGCCTTATTTTTTTCAGATATAAAGCTTTAAACTAGTTAATTTGAAAATGTTTGTTTAGACAGCAAAATCAAGAGTTTTTCTTTCAAATTAAGTTCTGTTCATGTAACCATGTTCTTAAAAGATAAATAAAATAAACCTTATTTGTCAACTAAAAGAAAGGCAATTCATGGTCTTTGTACCGATTGAATAATTTTACTGAATACAATCTGTGGAGACATTACTCTTACTTCCTAAGGAATCCTACTTCTGTGTGAATTAAGGATGACCACCTATTTTGTTTGTTTAAATCTCTCAAGACATCCGCCTACACGCATCTCATCCTAAAAACAGGATTGTTTCTGAGGGAGGGAGGATGTGCTGATCCTGAGCCTAGCCTGTAAGAAGGCCTGACCACTTCCAATTTCTACCTCTTGGAACACAGATTCTAAGGGTTCTAAGCCACCATGTTTTAAGAAGTTCAGTCAGGGGCCATGCTGAGAGAAAGTGAAAATTTATAATTTAAAGCCCAGTGATGTCCCAGCTAACAGTTAGACAACCTTCCAGCCATGTGAGGGAAACATCTTGTTCCAGGCCATCAAAGCTGTAAGCTCTAAGAGCCTGTGTCTCATGAAGCAGAATCACTCAGCTGAGGTCACTCAAAGCACAAAGTTATGCAACACAGCAAAAAGTTGTTGTTTTAAGTCTCCATGTTACAAAACATTGAGATAACCAATGCGGTATCTTTTTATCTCTTTCAAGGTAGGACTTAAGCTTTTCTAAATTTAAATTTAGTAGGAACACATTTTTTTACTTTATTTCAAGTACCTTCATGTAACTTTTTAAAATGTATTATTATTTAAGAGGCAGAGTTGCAGAGAAGAGAGAGAGAGAAAGAAAGAGAGAAAGAGATAAAAAGAGGAAGAGAGAGAGAGAGAGAGATCTTTCATCTGCTGGTTCACCCCACAAATGGCTGCAACGGCTGGATGTGGGAGCCAGGAACTCCATCCAGATCTCCCCAGGGGTAGCAAGGTTCCAAGTTTAGGTCTTCTACTACTGCCTTCTTGGGATCACTAGCAGAGAGCTGCAAAGGAGCATTTGGGACCCAAACTGGCACTTATAGTGGATATGGGCAGTGCAGGTAGGTGGTTTTACCCACTGCGCCACAATGTTGGTCCCATGTTTCATTTTCAACTAGAGTTTAACTGGTTCAAGAGAACAAATACAGCTCTATTTTTATTCTATGTGTCCCCATGGGGAGCAACACATTACCAGGCACAGGAGATTCTGGTTTCAAGTTGAATCATAACAAAGTGGAGGTGAAAAGAGGGAAATAGAAGGGCATCTTTTGATATAAGGCACATATTAAAGATATAAGGATTTTGGTTAAACTAGTATTATTAATAGGAGCATGGTCCATGTACACACACACACACACACACATTTATGTTAGCATTTAATCTGAGTTACTTTAACCAAGGAATCTATTGTCATTTAGAGGTTTTTCTTGGTAAACTCAACCTAAGTTATCAATTTTGGTTAGAAGCTTTGTCATCTGTTGCTATTTCACATATGGAATTATAAAAGGAGCCCAGCTGTAAGAGAAAAGGAAAATTATGCTCTGGCTCAAAGGTAAGTAAATATATTTAACAGGGAGGAAAAGCAAAAGTGATGATCTGGAGCTACACTGTAAAAGCAGAAGTGAACATAAATCTCCAATTTCTACAATGATTTCTGCATGCGGTTGATTGTGGAATTAACAGTGTATCCATTCATTGTTACTCTGTGAATAGGTACCATATGCAAGAGAGTATTGTTCTTAATATAAAAATAATGATGCACAACTCAGTGCAATACCCTGGGGTCAGTGAATAGAAAGACAGTATGTCTACTACTAGTACAGGACAGTTTTTTTTTCTTTTTTTAAGGTTTGAAGAAAAGGTAATATTTAAAACTGAAACGTTTTAATTGTTCTGATTCTGAGTGTACTTTTGAGGTTAACACACAACTCTTTTTTTTTTTTTACTTTTTATATTATTAACTCTATAAGACAAAAATAGTATTAACTCTATCCATAAGACCAAAAAAAAATTTTACTTAATTCTCCAAATTCCTTTCCCTGAGCTACAGTCATCCCAGAAAACCTCTCCCTGCTGGCTGCTTCCAGAATTCATATTTCTGTTTCAGAACTGCACTTGTTTAGACAGAAAAAGGCTCCGTGTGTGCGTTTGTGTTGTGGGGGTGGGGAGGATCGTGGTGAGGTGATAAATCCTTTGCTAAGTTGCACTTGTGTAAAATGTAAAGCTATGAATACAGAAGTCAGATTCAAACAGATTTATTACACACAGTGGATAGTATTTTGAAATGCAAGTGATCCACAAAAACAAATATCATGACACAAAGCTTATCCTTGCATCCAGTCGATCTGTTTTGTTTAAGTACACTCGATTTATAACATGGGGAGTTTCAGGCATAACTCTTCACACGCGGATCTGTCTTTCTCCAGGGAGATACTGGAGAGTAGAAAGGGGAGGAAGAGGGAAGAGGCGAGGGGCGAGGAAAGCGGGAGGGGTGTGGGGGAAGACTAGGAGGAAAGGAAGGGAACAGAAAACTGCATCTGGAGCCCACAGTTGCATCCATGCCAAGCGTGTGGGCATCACATCCACGTTGTAACAAAGACATGACCATGGCGTTTCTTTGGGCTCTAGACAGGCTGATACAGTCTGCTTGCAAGCACTGTCTGTCGTCTCCCCTAAGCCCCCCACTCCTTCAGCAGGTTCCAGCTCCGATCTCGAGAGCACTCAACGCACGGTGCTGGGCACGCCAGTCCCCAGGAGAGGCTGCCACACGTTGATGCGTGTGAGGCCAGGGGCGCTGGAGCATCAAGATGTTAGGGGGAGGAGGGGTCCCACCAGCGAGAGACTCCTCTCTGCATCCCCACCTCCAGCATTTATGGCTAGAGTGTGCCAGGGCAGAGCCAGACAGGTAGCCCCGCCGCTTAAAGGGGTGCGGAGTGCAGGCGCGCAGCCGGGGGAGGACCGGTGTGGCCCCGCCGGGTCCGTTGCCGGGGCCCCGGGCGTTTGCAGACCCACGGAGAGCCGCCTCGGTCTCCAGAGTGTCCTCTAAAAGCTGCCACCTGCGCACCCTGAACCTCAGCCTGGCCTCGCCTCAGGACCCTCCTCCTTGCCCACCACGTACCTGGCCCGAGCGGCGGGGCGCGCGGCCCAGGGGAACCCCTGTCGGCGGGACGGGCCCAACCCCGGGTCGCCTGCGCCTCCCGCGGTCGCCACGCGCGGCTGGTGGCGCTCTGGCCGGCACCATTGACGAATCCTGGGTGAACCCGCCTGCGGCCGCCGCGGTATCTTCCGGAATCTCTGGCCGGGCACCTTTGGGGTGAGATGCCTGGAAAGCCGCGGTCCCTGTGGGTCTGAGGTGGCCCCCCAGCAACCTCCCAGCCCCTCCCCCGAAAAGAAAACCCGGGCAGAGACAGGGAGGATCCGCGTAGTGGGGAGCCGAAGCCTCCTGGCTCGTCCTTGTGCTGCTCTTCCCGTCGGCGTCCGAGTGTGTTTATATAGCAGCTGGAGGCCACGCAGAGTTGCCCACCCCCGGGGCGGCGCGCCCTCCCTTCCCCGGCTCCGGGCTCCGCACGTGGCAGGCACCAGCGACGTCTCGGCGGAAGGCTGGCGGCAGCCGGCGGGCCCGGTGCAAGCGCAGCGCGTCTTTACCTTCCGCTCGTCCTCCGGGCGTCCTCAGCCACTTCCCGAGCCGGGCACGGACTTCGGTGTCGCCGCCCTCCGTGCCCCGTACGTGCGCGGGAGATTGACGGGACTGCCCCTCAGGTGCTGTGGAGGCGTCTCAGGGCTCGTTCCTTGGCCGGAGAAGAATGGTAACATGAACAGCTAAGCGTGAGAGCGTCACGGGGGGAAGCGGACGAAGATTGATGGGCAGAACGCTCACTTCGCCGAGCCTCTCATTCTGAGCCCCGCGCGGGCCAGCGAGCGACGAGGCAGCGCCTCAGCTTCCTGGCCGGACGCCGCTGACATCTGTCGCCTTTTCCCCGCCGGGCGCCAGGGTCGCTGCGCCGCTGCCCGCCAAGGAGCGTGGAGACAGCGCGTGAAGATCCGGGAGTGTGCGGACCTCCATCCAGACGGGAGTTCTGCCGGGTTCCGTGTCCCTGGATCCCCGCGGAGCCCCCCAGCACGCTGGCGCCGGAGGGAGTTGAACTTGAGTTCAGGTGGTAAGTTATCCCGAAGGGAGCGCGGGAGGAGCCGAGGAAGGTGGTGTTCCAGTGTCGAGAAAGCGGAGACTTTCCCTCCTGACACTTGATGGGGCCCGGCCACCTCCGCTCCTTCAGTTCTCTCTCCCAGCCTGCTCCTCTAAACCCACCAAGAGGGAAGGGGGCAAACCAGAAAAAAAACGAACAAACAACAACAACAAAAAAAAAAACGAAAAGCAAAGCAGCATTTAAAACAACCAAACAGAACACCAAAAAACTCCCCTTTACTTAACTCTCTAGCATGCTATTGACTTTTTCATAACTTATCATTACTCTGTGAAATGACCATATTTTCTCCATTGCTTTATATTAATGGAGGTCAATAGGCTTAATGATTTCCTCAGTCAAGTCATTTATTTCTAAGCCAATAGTTAATGCCTTCGTCATAGTTTTCTGGGGGGGAAAGTAACTGTGCGTTTGTTCTGCAGATGGCCAACTCCCTCTGAATCCTGCAGACTGGTGCTGGGCGCGTCACAAAAGTTTGTAGCTTCTTCTCAGTTTCTGGGGCTGCGCAGGGAAGACGAAAGGACTTTGGCACTGAACACAAGAAACGGGGGGACATCTCCTTTAAGTTTTCTCCTCTGTTACCATTGGCAATGAAGAGGAAACAGAAGAGGTTTCTGCAGATGACTTTGTTATTCATGGTGGCTTTAATTTTCCTGCCCAATATTGGACTCTGGTCTCTATACAAGGATAAGCACCTGGTGAAATCTACAGAGCCTGGGGAGCAGCAGGTAAGTACTATCCAGAGAAAAGACCACAGGAGCATTGGCAAGGCAAGTAACCCCTGTGCCGGCTGGGACACCAGCAAGCAGGTGTGGGATCATTGAGTTTTCACCCCAAGTCTTTACAGAGCTGACATCAAAGGGCTCAGGAGATTTAGAGATGTAAGTAAGTAGCTGTTTTAAGATCACAGGTGAGGCCATGAAGAACTTAAAAATAGAGTAGAAAAGAGAGAAAAAAGAGGTCAAGGAGAGAGGAAGATGCTTTTTCACAATTAGTTTCGGGTTGATTTTGACTTGAGGTGGTTGAAAGGTAATTATGCTTATTTGTGGGAGGTGGGAGTGGATTTTGCTATTAGTTATGGATTTTTTTTTTTGCCTTGCATCTGGTTTACAAGTACATATTAAAGTGAATCAGGCCAACTTAATCATTAAAATTATGAAGTAGTTCTCAAAAACCAAGCTACAATTTTGTTTATTTTAGTTGTAATTTTTGCTTAGCAAAAGCTTTTTACCCTACGAAAACTTAAAGTTCATTCCTGCTGTTGCTAAGGTAGTGTGATACTGGCAGAATTACTAAGAAATCCATTCAGTTTCACAGTCTGGTGATAATAGGTTTCCTTCACATTGGAAACACCATGTAGGTTGACATATTTTCTTTCTCCTTAGTAGGTAATGTATTAATATACATATGGCTTCCAACTTAACATAGGTCAAAATAACTGTCTTTTCTTGATGAGCAGTTATGCAAAAATATCCTTCAGAGAACATTGTTGAAAAACTGTGTAATTCCTATTTATCAATAAATGAACAGTTTTACTACTTAAACTTTTCATAATGGCCTTCTTTATGATATTGATGTAACACATTTGCAGTTAGTGCTGTGCATCACCTTGTACAAGTCATGTTAATATTCTTAATTTCGAGGGTCATCACCCATGTGCACTATGTACTTTTCACATCCAGAAAACAGTTAAGTAGTTCATTACTGGACAACAGCAGTATGTATTCACAGCAATTGAATATTTGCTCTACACTTAACAAAGTTTGATATTCTTTTTAAACAATGAATGGTAACTTGTGAAATATGTGTAGTTAATCTGCTTTCTCATTATAAGAAGTCATTACCAGTCTCTGAATTTTAAAGATTCTTAGTTCCTATAGATTTTTAGTAGGTTGGTATTATGAGGAAAAATGTTAACATAACTTCATTTAGTTTTCTGCCTCTATCATCTTTTCTAATAAGGATTTGACTTTTGGTTTGAAATACATTCTGTCTTGTCATTGGAAAATGAAGATGGGCACTTTGCATGTGAAACATGTTTTTCTATTTAAATTACTTATTTCACCAATGTTTTATATAAAACAGAATTTTATTAATATTAATAGTCAATACAGACTTGATGTGAAATTTCTATTCCAATATTGGTAATTAAGAAAATAAGAATTATTTTCTTTGGAATATTTGCTGGTATAGCTAATATGAAGCATTAATTAGTCATATTAATGAGATCTTCACAACTTTCACATTGATTCTATTGATTTTGACTTTTAATAAGAAAATTGTTTATTCAGTGGCATAAAAAATAAAATGTGGCATTACAACTCCTCTGACTTGTCATTCTAATCTTCTAAGTAGTTTCCTTTTTTCTGGTTCTTCTGTAGTGCCTCTGGTACTTAATGTTGGGTAATAAAGTAATAGGAATGAAATGCTGGGTGTGGCAAGAGAAGCAACTATTTCTCTAAGTTTTTTATGCTGTGGCTTAAATAACATACGTTACTGGCTGTCCTGTGAGATCCCAGTTTAGTAATCCTGTGTAAAAATGTAAGAAACCAAGAAGTTAAGAAAAGATAGTGATAAGCAATAAACTGAATGTTGGTCATATTCTTTAGTATTTGTAACTTAAAAATGGTTTCAAAACTGATTCTTCCTTACAGATAAAAAAGTCAAATTAAAAATTAATTAGAAACCTTTTGGGAACTTATTGAAAGATTTCATTAAATAAATATATTTATTTATTGAAAAGTTATTAGTCTTATCCCACTATTTAATATGGTTGTAGGAAAATTAAGATGAATTCACATCATTATATTCTGAATAAGTAAAGGTTAAGTCATTAATATATTTTGTCAAATAAAAAGTGATTTGTAGTGATAAATTAAACATGCTTAATATTGTGATGTAGTATTGTGTTAATATATCTGTAGTGCCATGTTAGTATATCAGTTAACTACAGAAATTTTTAATTGACACATATAATTTGACTATTCAATAATATGTTATATTTAAATTTAGCAGTTTGTTTTAAAAATACATTTTATGATTAACTGCTAAATGTTGTTCAAAGTCATTTGTTATTGTTTTTGTCTCCGAGTTGTAAAGTGCTCAGATTAAGGATAATGTGCTAATTGAAACATTGACAGCAATAAATATTAAACTATCCAAATCATGTGTTCATATTAGTAGTCTACAAATATTATGCACAGAACAGCCAGCCATTCTGTTTCTAAATGTGATGTCTTAGTGGTCACAGAAATTGAAAAATCTTCACTATTTTAAATAATTTCATTATTATAGTGAGTTGCAGAGAAATAGTTTATGTAAAGTCAAAAATCATTAAATTGCTAATATTTAAAATATTCTTATCTGTTATTTCAAATTTTATTTATTATGTGACTCTAGATAAAAAAAGCAAAAATAGAAAGCAAGACAGATATTGTGTGTACTTTCATCAAGTTTAGTATTTAATAAATATTTTTCTCAACTACTACATTACAAGTTGTTTGTATTTAGTTGCATTTCAAATGTGAGATTTATGATAACACAGCATAATATTTAAACATTTGTCCTATCAATGATGCAGAAAAGCTAAAACATGAAATAATAATTCCAAATATTCATCTAATTTTCATCTAATCAATTTACTCATGGATTTGTTTTTTCTTTTCCAACATAAAAAGAGGTAAAGATTGATAAATAGTTTCCATAACACCATCCAATTAAAATTTTTGTTTTGTTTTATTGTTTGGTCACTGAAAAATCAAAACCAAGTTGGTGAATACTCAGACTTTGACATGTTTAGTTTTTCATAAACAGTTTTAAATGTTTTTGTATTAAATTGACATAATTGTGTCACATTGTTTTGTTACTTCATTTCCTCTCGTTTTGCTATTAGAATGATATAAGTATCTTCTTTATGTGATTTAGAAATATATATGTGTATCAAAAAGAATATCGATTATAAAGATAGTATTTAGCTGAGAATGATTGTTGCATGGTTGTTGTATAGTAATTCTTAATTTCATTTCTCTTTTTAAACATTTGAAGTGCTATTTTTCTCTAATTTTGGCTGAATTTGAATTAAAGCCCAATTACATGTGAAGGTACTTCAAAAAGTTCATGGAATATGAAACTAAAAGATAATGCAAATTTTCCATGAGCTTTTTGAAGTACCTTCATTTTGAAAAGTTAGTTAAGCTGTGCTTTAGGATGATATATAGAACAGTACTATAGTTTAGGACAGAACTTCTGCATCCAGTAGTATTATAACTCGGTTCCTAATCATATATTAATGTACTTGTATAAAAAACAAACTACTCAGAAACACTTTCTTTTCTTAACTACATTAAATAGGTTGACAACATCTTCAAAAGTTACTGTAATAGAAGGTTATCAACTAAATTGTAAATCATGAGTTGCAGAAATAATTTTAAAATATTCAGAATATGAAGACAATCTTAAAATTTTTTAAAATAAAAAATCATGGTCAAAAGTCCAGATTTTTTTTTTTTTTTTGACAGGTAGAGTGCACAGTGAGAGAGAGAGAGACAGAGAGAAAGGTCTTCCTTTTCCATTAATCACCCCCACAATGGCCGCTGTGGCTGGCTCACTGCGCTGATCCGCTGATCCGAAGCCAGGAGCCAGGTGCTGCTCCTGGTCTCCCATGCGGGTTTCAGGGCCCAAGGACTTGGGCCATCCTCCACTGCACTCCTGGGTCACAGCAGAGAGCTGGACTGGAAGAGGAGTAACTGGGACTGGAACCCCGGGGTGCCTGCACTTCAGGCAGAGGATTAGCCTATTGAGCCTAGGTGCCTGCCTAAAAGTCCTGAATTTTAAATTACCTATTTTCAGAATTGTTCAGAAAGATTTTAGAAGCTTCTGTTTGGCCTAGATTTTTTAACCATAGAGCAAAAACAACCAAGTAAACAAAAAACATTAGACATTCTAAATCACTTTGAACTGTTGAACTTCCTTCTTTCTTAGAATTTCATTGTGTTAAATAGAGCTATTCTTGCTTGTCACATTAGGAGATGCATGAAGTCCTAAGAGATCACACCTTTTATATGGAAAATACTGTTGGGTAGTTTTGTTTTTAGTCAGATCCACATGTAAACTGTGCTTGACAGTTGTGTGATTTAACCTCCACTAACAAAAAAAAAATACCCTGATATATTTCTCAGCATCTTTGTCTAAATATTTTAATGTTAATCAGCTCCACACTTAAAGGAGTCTTTCTTTTGGCCAAGAACATATTTTTCTCCTGTAGGATTTTAAATTTGTTTTATAATATAAAGGTGTCAGATAATTGGTACCTAGTGTATGGGAACCGTCTTTTTCTTTGTTTTTTTCATGCTGATCACTAAAGCTGGAAAGTATGTGTTCTTTTTCCAGCAAGAACCTTAGTTGTTGCAAGAACCAAAGACAGGATACAAAAATTAAGAGTTTTCTCTTCAGCATTTAACACACTAGATGTGAAATTATGGTTTTTGAGCCATACGGTTCTTAATTAGCAAAGATGTAGATTTTAAATTAGGGTTTAAAAAGACCTTTTCCTGAATTTATGGAAAATCCATTCAGAATCACTACAGGATGGCATCACGCAGACCGCTATAACAAGTGGCTTAATTATTTGCTGTGACCTAGTAGATCGCTACATGATTAGTTCATCACATTGCCCCATGGGAGACAGAGTGTGAAACGCAGTCTTCTGTTCACAATCTGGTAAAAAATG